AGACAGCCTAGTCTAATGCCAACTGAGTAAAAGCATGCTTCTCTGATGTATGAAATGACTGATTTTTCTAGCATATGTCTGCATGTACCCTCTGTAAACCTGGAGACTACATGCTTCATATCTTGTCTCTAGTTGCAATTGCAAATGAGGGTGGTTGCAAGGGCCTGGAGAAATTGGAGGAGAAGCTGCCAGTCAAAGAGCCAGCAGATAAGGTAATTACCTCTCCTGGGTGGAAAGGTCTGGTGTCCATGTTCTAGAGAGCTAGTTCAGAGCTGCCCCGAGTCTTCAGGCTAGCTGTAATTCTCAGCAAACAATCCCTTTATTCTAGGCAGAAAGAATTTATTAGGCTCTTCTCACAAGAAGGCTTCCTCTTCTCACACTGCCCTTTCAGCTGCTAGTTGGAGCTGGACAAATAATTCATTAATTAACCAACTTTAGTTCTTACTGTCTGAATTTGCCACAGATAGTGTTCCTTGATCATTTTACTTGAAATTACATGGATGTTATCTTAACTACCTTAAAGTTGGCCTGCAAAGACTCATGCCATCTCCTGAGGTTTTGATAGATGAAGACCTGAGGCTTTTCTCAAGACTTTTTTTACCTTTATATCAAACATTCTGGTCTTAGTTTAGCTGGGAGATCTGTTAGATGTTTGCTTGCAAACATTTTAACATTTGATGGGGAAGGGGAGTTCAACACTTGAAAGTGGCTGTTCAACTCTGAATAAATGTTTTGCATGAGTAGATTTTCTTTAAAAAGAAACACAACCACTCTCCCCCTCAACTGCACAACTTCAGGTCTCATGACCCTTGCAGTGATTCATTAACTTTTCAGGCCAGATGAGACTTGAACTTCCTTTATTTAAAGGCTTCCCCTCCCTTCTTCCCCCCCACTCTCACCTCCCCCCCCAAAACTCCTCAGTCCTCTTAGGCATCCTAAAGCAGCCCAAAAGGGCACAAGCCCACCTTAGTCTCTGCTGGACACTTCTTAGATTTAGCTCATGTGAGGTACTCAATATGTAAGATGTCATGCTTGTGCATATAGGTCAGATTGCATATCATCCCTGATAAGTGTACAACGTAATTGATCCTCAGAGAGCCTGAAGCTATAAAGCTTAATGTGACACTTGCTCTGAGCAAATATTCAATAGCTGCTGTTTCCATAAATATTCCTGCCACTAAAATCCTCTGGGAATATAGTTGAGGAGCAAAGAGTTAAATCTACTAATGTACTCCTGACTGCTCATGAAAGTTTCTCCCAGTTTGATTTCAAGTCCCTTTGAGTCAGTCACTTAAGTGCTTGTCAAAAACCCAACCACAATCTCTAGTAATACTTGCTCCCACTCATTCTGGTGCCCAGACTCCATCTCCCAGCCAGCTATAAAACTCTGGAGATGTTGGTACAGTCTCCTCAAGGTCAGGCCCCTGAAGTACAGCACTAGCATAGGTGGAAACAGGAGTTTTATACCAACTTGATTTCTTCCCCTAGGATCTCTTGGAGCCCAAAGAGCTGGTGTCCTCCAAAGAGGTGGATGCTGTGAGCAGCAGCATGA